CCTCTCGCGCGCTCCCGCCAGTGCCTACGACCGCGCCATCCACCGTCGATGCGCGCGTAGCCGCACCATGCAGACAGAGAAAGAAAGCGGGTGCACGGAGGAGATCGACGAGTCGGTGGCCAACACATCTGCATCCATGTCCGCTGGCAACTTCAAGGGAAAGTAGAATACGGGAGGCCGCCGTCGCTTGGGTCCCACGAAGGCCACCGCCGGCGCGTCGCCGACTTGTACAGCTGGTGACGCGCCGCGTTTCTTCTTTATCTTAGACCACCTTGGCCTGGGCATCCACTGAAGGACCCTTCCCCTCCGGCTTAAGCACCCTCTTCGCCACATTCCGATGAGCGGCACTGCCGAACATAGGGAAGATATGGGGAAAGAATATGCCTCCGCGACTCGCGGCAATCCGGTGACAAAGGGATCCGCCACGGCCGACCATAGACTAGTGTAGTGTATATGTGTTGTGGGAGTGGAGCTCCGCGCGACTGTATGTGCACATAGTTTTAACTTTTTAGTTAAAATATTTTCAAGATGTAACCATTTGCATCCGATTTGTATGAAATCCTTCATGTTTATATGAAATCCGGTCGAGTTTGTATGAAATCCGGTCGTGTTTGCACGAATTTCATCCGGTTGGTTGTGAGAATGTATACGGCTAGCGTTGGATGGTTGCCTCCCGCATTCGTGTCCACGGGCTGGTCCCCCCAGTCCACGGACGGATGCGGGAGGTTTTTTGCGGGTTGCCGTTGGAGATGCCCTAAACACACACGACAGAGTTAATTGCACAAAACCATCACATTTAGGGCATCATTTGCAGAAAACCACGAGGTCACTAATTTTTTGCAAAAAATACGCACATTCAGTAAACTTTTTTGCAAAAAACATTGATCGGGTGATTTAGGCCGTTTAATCACTTTCTGACAAGTGGGGCCGGATTGTCAGGAGCTGACTTGGCAAAACATTTACATACACCGCCCTTATAGATCTTAAAAAAAAGCAATCGACCCCCTCTGCTCCCGATCCCCTGCTCCCCATCCCGATTGAGGCACCCGACCGGCAACGGCTCCGCCGCTGTGCTGCCAGAGCTCCGCCCCGCTGCGCACTGCCTCCTTCTCTAGTCGTCTCCTAGCTCCTCGCACTGGCGAGCTCGCCTCGCGCGTCGGGCATTGGTGGCCATGGGGCCGCCCGCCACAACCCCCGGCGAGGTGTACAACGAGTGTGCTGGGCACCCGTGGCCATGGCGCCACCCGCCCATCAGTGGAGGGGAGCAGGTCACAACAGCGCGTGCTCGCGGCCGGCGCCGGTGGCCGGCATCCCAACCTCAGCCGTCCCTCCTTCCAACCTCCATCCCTGCCCACGAGCGCAGTAAGGGACGACCTCCCTCACTCGAGCACCCGGCGAAGCGGCCTCCCTCCTCCTGCGCGTGATAGCTCCGGCCAGGGCGCATCATCCCGGCGTGTTCGGTCAATTCGCTCCTTGCAGTTGTGCACAGGGGTCTGATTGCTTTTGTTTTTTAGATTTAGGGGTATGTATGTAATTTTTTTGTCAAGTCAGCTCCTTAGAGTCCGGTCTCACCTGTTAGAAAATGATTAAATGGACTAAATCACCAGATCAGTGTATTTGACAAAAAAAATTACCAAAAACGTGGTGATTTTTCACAAAGTTAGGGTCTAGGTGATTTTCTGCAAACCTTGTTTCAAATGTGATGGTTTTGTGCAACTAACTCCACATGACAAGAGAGCTAGTACGCATGACAAGAGAGCTAGCTTGATTTGGTCGAGTTCCCTTTGTCTCTTTGGGCATCGGGTGCGAATTCGACCGGAATAACGATACACATGGGAGGCTCTACGAAGATGCCCAGTCACATGAAGGCCACTTTGCACAGCAACGACCCAACATTTGGGATCAACATTACAAGCATTATTGACATGCTTTTCTATCCAAATTAAAGCAGCTCATGATCGAATGGTTGCCCTAGCTCACAACAGTGTAGAATTAATCTGCAGAGCTCCACGAGAAGACACTTCTCCTAGCTAGGATGGAGCCTATAAATGAGGACCCAACCGAGCTCAAAGATAACACACGCTCTTCTCACTGGAGATCGATCTACGTTAATCCAGCAATGTTCCGCGGTGGCGGCAGAAGCAAGACGGTGGCGACGAGCACGAGCACGGGTAATGAGCTGCCCGTCGACGGCGTGGTGCGGGTGAGGAAAGTGGAGAGGATCCAGCCGCACAACCTCGTCTCCAGGCCATCGGTACTCCACGGCGACCACGCCACCTCGCCGGCGACTTCCGGACCGGCGGAGAGCCTGGCCGTCAGCGTCGTCCGTATAGGGGACATAGTGATAGTGGACGACAAAGACAAACCCGATGGCTTACTCTCGGTGTCTATCGCGTAGAACTTTTAATTGTAAGTTGGCGACTGCGTCATACTATGAGCGACACGCGCGTGTAGCGTATAATAATGCATCCTCCCAGGGAAACATCCACACCAATGGTTAGTCGGCTATGGACATCTGTGTCTTATGTACAATTGCAGTAGTAGCTGATCAGAGGATCCAGGAAACAAAAATAAACATGAGTTATTTAATTATACCTCAGGATGAAAGCTTCTTTTAAACGTGAATTCACTGAAATGTCTCACTCAGAAAACGTAACTCAAATATTGTACTCCTAAAATGCAGAATTTTGCTACTGTGTTCGAGGTCTTTCATGGTTGAGGGCATCCAAAAATTCTGCAACATTTGGCAGAGAGGCCGCGATGCTCCCGCTTAAACCAACTCCACCGCACGATCCCAAACAGACGTCTGTTTTGTTCGGATTCTGTCCGTTTGGTGTGATAATGAGTGGCAAAACGGACATGCACGTCCGGGTAGAGTTGGAGGCACCCAACGCACCAATCAACCCCGAAATGTCCGTCTCGGGCCAATATCTCATGTGCGACGTTTTTCATGCGAATTGGAAGGAGTGCGATGTAGTTCGAATGAATGGCTGTGATGCGACACATTTGAGCGTGTAAATAGCTCCAATGCGACATGGCTCTGTTTGACCGTGAAATGAAAAACACGAGGGGTTAGCGATTTGAGTTATGACACGCGGGACCCATCAGTTACTCGCATGCGGGTGGGACCCACAACTTATCCACACAAGCATGCCCGTGCTCATCAGCGTGCCCCGACCCGAGCCAGCCCGCCCCCCTCCATTGCTCGCCCTGCCCCTTTCCTTTCCCACCTTCTTCTTCCTCTGCTCCGGCAACGAAGCGCGCCGCCGGCGAGTGATGTCTAGCTCGACTTCAGCCACCCGCCAATCATGGACGCAGTACGGTCCACTACCGTTGACAAGACGCCCCGATTGTCGCGCATGGAGCCTCTCAAGCGTTTGACTTGTGTGAGGGAAGAAAATGGCAACCGTGGGCGCGAGTTTGTGAAATGTTTGAGCAAGCCACAGCCGGGGCAGGTTAGATCTATGTTCTTGACCAATTCTATGGTCTAATTTCTCCCGATTTCTTTCTTTTTTCCTCGAATTAGGGCGGTGGATCTGGGTGGTGGATCTAGGATTCATGCGCCGCCGGCCCCCTGTTTTCAGGTTCTGAAGAAATGTGGGCATTTTGAGTGGCTCGATGAATATGTTAAAAGGTTGAAATTGGAGGGATCAACCCCAACCCAAGAGCTCAATTTTGGGGGGCGGCTTGCCGTGGAACAAGCCCCCAATTTGGCAGACAGAGCCGATCCGATGATGCACAGTGCAGAACTGAAGTGTGAATTGAAGAAAATCGGCAAGCAACTAAAGCATCTGATCGATTTGAAGCAGCAAGCAAATATGATGGCGGGAGCATTTTATGGTTGTGCCATTGCTATGGGTTTATTTTACTTGATGTTCATCAATCGCTAGAATTTGTTATAGTTTCAGTTAGTTAGTCAGCTAGTTTCAGGGGTGCCCAGTAGTTTGAGTTAGCCAGGGATCATTTGTTTGATGAACTTGAATTCGTGTGAAGCAAAACTTGCTTGAATTATTGTAATGATATTCTCAGGGGCCCTATTCAGTGTTCATGCTCTGTTTCCTCTGTTGTTGTTCTTCAGTTAACAGAGTACACACCCAAATTCAGTTTCTAGTAAAAGAACAAAACTGGGCTGCCGAATAGATGTTGGGCCGTGAGAAAATGGGCCCTGAGAAAATAGCCATGCCCAAAATAGAGACCAGCCCGCCTGCGTAGGGGCACCAGCCCACCCGCGTAGCGGCACCAGCCCACCTCTAACTTCGGCAAATAAAATGTTACTTATTTTTACTTTGGCCTTTTTCTTGCACTAAATTTTGTGATGGACCATTTTTTTGATGTAATAAAATCAAATGTTAATTGTTTTTATGCATGTCTACGGTTCCATGAACTAAATTAGTTTGCATTTCCTAGTTGCATGTCCATAGTGGGTTTGCATGGGGCTCCTAGTTGCATGTCCATGGTTTGGCCAATATTTTGAAGATGGTGTGTGTGGTGAGGTTGAGGTGTAGCAACCCGGGCTCGTAGCAACCCATAGCAATACACAAATAATAAGCAAGAACAACCCATAGCAATCTTCAAATAATAGCACGAAACACATAATATATATAGTAGCATAAGGATTGCAACCCATAGTTCCACGATAGCCTTACAACTCCATGATAGCCTTACAACTTAAAATACTAATACAACTTAATAATAGTAGCATAACGATTACTACTTAAAAAAACTAATATGATAAGCTAGATAGATCGGGGGGCACCAAACGCGGGTTCTTCTTCGGGCTCTTCTTCTCCTCCTCCTCCGAGGGAACAACGCCACCTCGCTCCTCCGGGCGCCGCCCTTCACTCCTCCCCGTTGTTGATGGGGTACGGGAGCATGTGCATAACACCGTTGTTGGGGAAGATGCTCTGGAAGTCGGTGAAGATATTGTAGGTGGTGAAAGCTATGAACTCACAACCAACCCAATACGCTCGCCCGAGGAGATAGAAAGCATCAAAAGGGTTAGTGAACGTGGCGAGGGGAGGTGGCGGAAGCCGGCCGCAAGGAAGAACTCCGTTAACTCCCCTACGCCCCTCCACCTCAAGATCGCCCAAACCCTAAGGGTTCTCTCTACATACACTCCGGCCGGGTAGAGCCTTTCCGGCACGGTTGGGGGGAAGCGGTAGGTGGGGGCGTCGTACTGCATGGTGGCAGGGTGGCTCGAGGGCTCGGTCGGGTTTGATGGAGAAGAAGGAAGAAGAAGGGCAGAGGAGGCAGAGGATGGGGTATGATGGATGAGGAGGGAGAGGACGATAGTGCCCGGCATAAATAGCCCAAGTGTGACGTGGTTTCACCCCGTCAAAACCCTAGAATTAATGGGCGGGCGGCGTTTGGTGGCACCCCATGAAAGTGTGTACATGAGCGTGGCCGTGGGAAACGGACTGCGACACTTCTGTGCCACCGGTCGCGGGTCAAGGGGACACGCCTTCCCCGGGTTCCCTGCCTGTGCCACCCGTGCATGCATGCCGTTGCCCATTAATTTGCTCATCTTGCTAGGGCCTGGCTAGAGGGCAAGGTTCGGTCGATGGGAGACGTGACAATAATGGACGCCTTCTTTTGCCCATCTTGTAACGGGCAGCACACCATTTGTACTGCATCGATACCCCATGCCAGTATTGCGTCCTCAAAGAGGAGCATGCCATGCACAGCGTGCACAACACGCCATGCAGCATTGGCTTTTTGGTTGTCTTCATCGGGCTGCTGCATTGTGGTCGGGTGCATGCTTTGATGCGACGCTGCATCGGTTCTAATGGTAGGCATGCGACAGGTTACTGCGTTGATAGGGGTGGCGGAGCAGGGCTACGTCGAGGCATGCATGCAACGCACGGGCGCAGTCCTGCGGGTGGGCATGCATGCTGCGGGTAGGCACGGGCACGCATGCAACGATGGAAAGGGCACTGCGTAGGCTTGGTCCATGCACCGCGTCAACTCTTGCCGTTGGATTCAAATGAACGGTCCTGATGCTTCAACGAGAGAGGCTGATCCAAACCCCACCGCGTCAACCAATCAGCGCGTCTCATGCGGATCGCTGCACACTGTAGCTAACCCTAGCGCCTGATCTCAACCGTCCACGCACAACGATCGACGACCAGGTAGTGTGCGGGGTTTTGAGGGGTTTTGAGAGGGGTTTTGAGGGGTTTTGAGAGGTTTTGAGTGATTAGGGTTGAGCATAACTAATTCAAAAAAAATCAAAAAATATAAAACTTGTGCACATAGTCTTATTATGTCGTATAGTAACGAGAGAAAAAATATAAATATGGTTTACATACATTTTTACGAAAAATCCTTCAAAAATTGTCATTCCTCAAACAATGTAGTATGGAGTTCAAGGGAGAGAGTAGTGGGCACCCGAGAGTAGGTGGGGTTTTGAAAATGAAAAGTGTGAAAACCTCACCAAAACTTCATTTTGGATTGACTAAGAAAGATATGAACTTACTTTTCTCATTTTCATGTTTTAAACTTGTTTTATATATAATTTTCTATTAAACCTTGTTTTTTCAAAAATAAAAGAAAATAATAGAAAATTAATTCAATAAATAGTGAGACTTTAGATTTACACTATATAGGTAGAATAGATGTGTAGAAAAATTATTTGGCTGATTTAGACAAGGTGCCAAAAAACTTGCTTAAATATGAGGCCGTTTACCCTACCTTTGGAGGTCATTTGAAACACATTTTTCATGACTATGAGTTCAACTTACCAAAAGGGCTCGGAATGATCAGCAAGAAAACATATTTCAGTTGAGGTACTTTAGATAGCACTAAAACATCAATAGCCCAAATTTAAATTTAAATTTGAATTTTATTTGGCTGGTTTAGACAAACAAGTTCGAATAGAAATATGGGGATACATAGTGGCTACCAGTACGCACCAAGTTACAAATATTATTACATGCCCCAAATTTTCAAACTGTTCTCTGTTCTACTTCTTCCTACCACGTCGTGTGCCCTTCTTTGCCTTAGCCCTTCTTATTTTTGGTTCTAGTACACACACAAGTTCACTGATCATCTTGGTTTTCTTCACTGGTCTTTTCAACACCTTGCCAATACCCTCGTGATTAGTGTCTTCGATCTCAATGTTGACACCAGTTTCAGTTTCTTTGGTGTGTACCTCAGCATGGGTTTCTTCAGTCTGAACCTTGACACGCTCAAGTTCAGTTTCTTCAGTCTGAACCTCGACACGTTCAAGTTCAGTTTCTTCGGTGTGCACCTCCACATCAGTTTCTTCAGTCTGAATGTTGACTGCAGCAGGATTTTCTTCAGTCTGCTCAGGCTCAGGCACACTTCTCTTCTTTCTACCGCCATTGACTCTTGCTTTTTTTGTTGGCCAACACTGTTCAACAACAAGGGGCTGACTTGCTC